ATCACATGTTTCACAACATAAAAAAGATCAACAGTCGATTTTGTCACAAAGTGATAAAATGAGTGTCCATTATGCTGTGACTTGCACTATATGAGCTATGAATATATGAGTACAAATACCCTCCAATATATCCCATACACGAATCATTTGGTCATCAACACAATTAGAAACCAATGTGTTGTCAATAAATTGTAATGAATTAATTGTTTTACTAAGACCAAGTGTTCTAATTAATCTTCCTGTTGCAATTTCATAAATACTTATATCATTAAAAGCAGAATTTATGATTATTTTTTCTCCATCCATTTGAAGACACAGAGGATAATTATTGAATTTGCCTTTTATGGAGGTTTCTTTGTAATTACCACAAATCCAGTTTTTTTTCAAGATACAATATTTGTGATATATATCACTATATAGATGATTTGATGAAGGTGAAATAGATAAATTTCTATGTATATTGTTTAGATCAACACCATCTTCTGATAAAAAATTTATCCATAAGCAATCTGAATTAATAATTATTTCTCTCCATTTTTTAGAAACCAATTGCAACTTGCATAGAAGAACTTTTGGTTCAAAATATCTGAAGATCAGTATAATTATGTCATATGGGAACCTGCTCATAAAACCAGATAGATTTTCTATGTAATTATCATTAAATAATTGTGATATAAAACTTGATTCATCTTCAGTTGACTTATCCTATTTAAAAATTAATTTGCAAAAATCAAATTATTTATCAGATAACAATAGTAATAACATGATCTGAAAGGATAGTTATTACTGTGACAAGTTTTTGTTCAGTTGCAACAGCCACATGTATTGGTGTTTTCAATAAGCTTAATGTTTTTACCTTATCATCATCATCATTTTTTTTTGTTTTATCATATTGAGAATCGTCAGTTTCCTTGTTGATTTCATCATCTACAGATGCATTCCTACCATCATCAATAATAAAATCATTTTCATCTCTTTTAATTTGATATTCATCTTCATTAACTAAATTGCACAAATTTTCTTCTTTAAGCTAATTAATTATATAATTTAAATTGGCACTATTAATATATATTTTAATTTGTATAATTATAATTATGTTACTGTTAAAAATTATATTAAATATTATTTATCACTATTATTACCTCGTATTCATCTAAATGAGTGCCACCTTCTCTTCTTAGATGAAGAGTGTCAAAAAATAATGATAATAATCAACAACACGTTAAAAAAAATATTATATATCGTGACAATCACAACCACCACCATTCTTTTAAAAATGATATCTAATAATACTTACTCTTTTTGTTCTTTATTACTTCCTTTTTGTCTTTTTATCGGATTCTTGATTCTAATTGTTTTTTTTTTTAAAATTAGAATTCCATGCAACCATTCTTATGATAAACTAGAGTGACGACAAGTGATGGCAAGTGGCGATAACCACCACCACCATCCTTAAAACACTTACCCTTTATTTGCACCAAATTCGCTGGTTTTTCTTCTTTTTTGTCTTGCTTCTGAAGACATTTTTTATTTTTTTTTGAAAGAAGTTTGTTTTGATCGACGTGTACACATTAATTATTTATGTGATTGGTTTTTTTTTTGGTAGGACAGACGCGAATTGATTTTTTTTTTTTTTTTTTGGAAAAACAATATATTTTTTGACAGAGTCCAAGGTGACAAAACGAGTGTTGTTGTTTGGCTTGGCTTGGTTTGGTTTGAGTCTCCTAAAGAAAGCGTGTTAATAACTAACCAGAGGTACTTTTTTTTATTTGTATTGATAAAATATTTTAATTGGAATCAAAACGCAGAGCAGATCTTGCTGGATAATTACAAGATTTTCATCAAGATGATAATATTTTGCTTTTTGTAATCGTTAATAATATTAATATTAATATATAATTACAAGATATCAAGACATTACAACTGTTGCAGATGAGGAAGGAAAAGAAACATTTTGAATATTCAACATTTGATTATCGGAAATTGGCAGGCGTTGAAGCACGCACACTACCTTGAACATTTACAGTCATTCGCTCATCTTCCTCGTGTACACAAGGCTAATCTGACTCGCGCCTGATGATACAATGATGCTACAGAATTCCAGGGAGGGGGAAAGATGCCCTGGAATTTACCAAGATTGCATCAATTGCAATGACACTTTTCACTAATCTTCCCAGACCAGAGAAAGCTGCTGCCATGCTGGCCGAAAAATTGCCCACAACAATCCTACTTCTAGGGCAAGGATGGCTCTGTGACCAAGATGTTACAATTCTGCTGATGAATTGTAGTGCCATGTAAATATCCTCCATCAAAGCAACGAAAATCTGCAACTTGTTCCAAGCACAGGAGGTTACAATTCAGAGTAGGGTTGGTGGCCCTGAAATTGCATTTGGCTCTGATGTTAAGAGGAAAGTTGTAAATAGTGTTTGTTTTGCATAATCATTTTCATAAATGCTCTATTTCTCTGATGCTAACCAATTTATGATTTTGGGTAGGGGACTGGATTGGGTTTTTGCCCAATCAGTCCTCTGTCCTATAGATTAAAATTATCACATAATTATATACATCTTTGTCAGCAATATGGCCAACAAGAAAAAAGTTATAAAATGGTTCAGATTTTGGTATGTTTTATACAAGTTAATCATTTTCATAAATTTTCTGCTTCTCTTTAATTTTTATTTGACCAACTGAACTTGTTTTTCGAATGGAGTAGGGTTGTTGGTGAGTAGGCATGCCACTGACAAGACAGGGGACGCCTTTGGGATATACCAGCCAAACTCATAAAAGAGATCTTTTGTCCAGACTTAAGGACACATGGATGTTAAGCACAGAAAATGTACACTACCAATGTATATTTTTTTCAACAAAATAAACATTAAATAATTAATTGTTAAATATTAATACTTTTCTTTTCATAAAAATTACAGCAACCCAGGACTCAAAACTCTGAATTCAGGGAAAAACCAAAACAATGACCCTGGTTTCAACCTCCTGAGTTGCATAATTTTCAAACCAGTTACAGACACAAACTTTATTCTAGTGAGAAGTGTATAACACAAAGCAACCATCACACAAGCACCAGCTATCAGTGATCAATGTCCATATGGTGACATCCAAGTCTGGTCTGAAAGGAAGATAAGGAATGTTTTTGTCCAAAGCCTTCCAACATGTTCAACCTGCCCCTACTTGTGGAAAAAATTACATAATGCTAAGGGTGTGCAATTGCATGCGATTGCATGTTTGTGATAGGAAAATTCAATTAAATCTGACACTGTGATCAACATCAGATTTATTATTCATAAGAAACTATACAATGGAAACTATAATATATTTTTTTGATCCTCCCTATTTATCTATTCTTGTGAACTGGGTAGACACATTATTAAAAGTTTCATTTTTGCATGACCTTGGTATCATTACTACCTGGGTGATGCAATTGTTTGTTATGTCAATTATATCAAATGTATCAAATAATCATCATGACCATCATGAATATTTGATGGATGGAGGCATTCACATACAAAGAAATGATTAAATAGCTAAGTCTTGTTTATTTTTATCTATATAATTAATTACATTTAAAAAATTATTATTTTATTTCAATGGCATTAATTTCAATAATTTTGAAATTATTTGTTTCTTAGTGTTAATGATTGAATCAATCACACAAGTGATAGTCAGTTTAGATGGCTTTTTTTAAAAAAGGTTTGGTTGAATTAATGTTATTAAATGTTTTTTTTGATACATCAAACTCAGTCCAAAATCTATCATATTTTTATATTTTGAAATTTCTTTTTTGATTAAAAAAAAAATTTTTCAAACATTTGTTTATTTTTTTTTAGTACATTTCAATTAGACTTTATTAGGTCAAATGATACATTCAGCAAAATTCTCAGAAGACTACATTGTGCATTAATTCTAAGATAAAAAAATCTGTTTTAATGTTTTAGTATAATCAAAAATTTTCTTCAATCGTTTTTTCAGAAATAACAATAATTATCTTTTATTTATTTGTTTATCTGTTTTAGTTGATCAATAAATCTCAGGTCTCAAGATAAT